TCTATCCGTCTATGGGATGTCAAAACAGGATAATAAAAAGCCAAATTAGATGGTTATGAGCATTGGGTAATGTCAGTTTGTTTCTCTCCTGATGGAAATATATTAGCTTCTGGTAGTAGTGATAACTCTATCCGTCTATGGGATGTCAAAACAGGATAAGAAAAATTCTAATTAGATGGTCATGATGATTGTATTAACTCAGTCTGTTTCTCTCCTGATGGTAATACATTAGCTTCTGGTAGTGTAGATAACTCTATCCGTCTATGGGATGTAAAGACAGGATAAGAAATTAAATCCTCTGATAAAAACCACAAAGATATTCTTGCATAATTTAAGATTCCACTTTAGAGTAACTCATTATTACCAAATGGTATTTGTTATTTATTATTTTTTAGTTAAGCCAGATCGTACAATACTTAGGATTTGTTAGAATCCATTATTAGAAGCAAGAGGCACACTTATATTGTAAGGAGAATTTATGAACCATTAAGGAAAAGATTTAAAACCTTTATTCAAATCTAAAGGAACTTGCTTTTTGGAAGACCTTAAGTAAAAGTGATAATTATTTTTCATTAACAACAATTACAATTATTATTAAAATACTCATTCCTAATTTTTTTTTGATTTAATTTTGTTTTTGTTTTCTTCATTTTTTAAGATAGATAATTACATGCTTTTTCAAAAGTATTCCATTTTAAGGAAATGTAGAGTAGGGTATATTTATTGAGACCTCCTAAAAAAAAACTGAAAATTTATAGAGATTTAATGTTAAATGATACTACATTAAATTAATAATCCAAACAAAGAACAGTAAGCTAAATGAAGAGATTAAAATAAAGATTGATTTTAATTACTTAAATGAAACCTAACTTAACAAAACAGCATGATTATTTCATAAGATATTCTGATAATCTATTTAATTTATTACTATTTATAAACATAAGTCTTAATAGATATAATTAATAATTTTGTAAAATTAGTTTATAAATAGTAAAAGATATATTTAATAACAAAGATAATAATAAAAAAGATATGACAAGGATTAAAAAAATAAAGTTAATCTTAGAATATAATCTAAACTATATAACAAAAGTTAACAATATGATATTGATTAATTTTAATATTAATCTCAATTCAAGATAATGTATCAATCAACCGTTAATTGACAAAGATATTAAAAAACTTTGAAAACATATTAAAAAATATTATAATTTTGAAATTATTAAAATTTAAGGAGATAATTATATCTTCTCTAACCTTATTATATATGAATCTTAATTATTGATTAATTTGAGCTCAACGTGAAATTTTACATACATCAAATAATAAGCAGTTATTACTCAATGTACAAAACTTTTTAAAGAGTCAGAACTATATAATGACTGTTGTCCCTTCAAAATGATTTTTTTACAAAATTAATTAATATCTAT